TGCTGTATTACATCAAGTCAACAGCAGCAGTGGGAGATGCAGAATGCAGCCATGCTGCAGCTACAATTCCCTCTCTACCTCTTCCGCTTTCTTTCCAATTTCCTATAAGGGATGATGATGACTTCACTCCCTCTGTCAGTTCTCTCACGCGTTCCCTCATTTCGCAAACAAAACCGAGGTGGTGGCTGGTGAGAGATGGTGAATGATGGAAACGGGGGAGAACACAATGGGCATATTTGTGCCAGAAACTGGAAGAGCAAGGGTGAAAACAAGCGAGGATGAGAAATTTAAGAAAAAGAGAGCAAGGAGACGACTGATGTAAGAATCTGGAGAATGGATGTGAGTGAGCCTGCAAGCAGTGATAGCCCCTCCCATAATTCCACTGCACTTTACATGAACCTTCTCTGGAGGAAGGGGGGGGCATTATCACTGATTTCTTCTCCTTGTCTGAGCTTACTCTCTTACGTAATCGACAAACATCCAAAAAGACTTCTTACAATTAATCAGACAGCTGTACTACGGGGACAGACATTCCTAAAACGCAGCATCGGCACTGCTTTTCTACCTAAACTTAAACAGACTGCAAAAATAAGGATTCCTGCACAGGAGACATTAAACTGCCAGTTGTTTTGGATGAACAAAGTCACCGGTGTGGCATTACTGGTCTGAAGTAAAGCACAAGGTAAAGAGTTGCCACCTGAAAGCATTACCACACAGTAAAACATAAACAAAAAAAGAAACAGCAATTACAGCTGTCTCAGGAAGCAACACACTACTGTCTCCAGCACGGCACACTACAACAAAAGCACATCCACACATCTAAAACGATGTAATAGCATTTTACAGGCATCACAAGAAACTGCGTGGTGCAGAGAAGCCTGCATACACCATCTCTCTCAGTCTTAAGCACAGGAAGCAAGCTCAGGCTAATTTCCTCAAAAGTAAATGAACAAAAAAACTGTGGTAAACAGTTCCAACCCTTTTGGAGAGAAAGGATGCTGTATTTCAGTGTCACATAAAAGGCACGAGTACTGCTCCACTTGCAGAAACTTCTAGTTTATCATGTAAAAACCAGGAGGAAGAGAAATCTATGTTAATGCCACTTTGACTGGTTTTGAAAAAACTACAATTATATCTGAACAGCGAGAATCTTTAATGTCTGTTTTCATCTTATTCACTCTGTGGGAGATGGAGAGGAAGACACAGATGTTTCTAGTCAAAACAAAAGCTTCAAATAAATTCGTTTTACCTGTTATAACCAGAACCAACTGTGAATCTGTGTGTTAAACGCTGGTTTAGCTTGCACAGCTCTACCACATTAGCCCAAATAAAAGACAGTGTTTCTGGGGTTTCAGAGGTTTGCAAGTCTGTGTTGAAGCTATTTGTAAATTTGGTACTGCAAATAAATATTTAGTTATAATTGATTTATTCTTCAATATTCTTTATTGTTAGCAGAAGTAAAACAACAACAAAAATGCTCATAAGAGAGCTTTAAAGTGCAAATCGGCACCCTTAAATTGCCTTTATAGTCCAACCAATCAAAACACAGACATGTTATGACTTTAAAAATGTTACATTATGTCTGAAGCAGTCAAATATGAGTCAATGTTGCTAAAAACATAGTCTAAGAATAATACAATTATCAAACCAGAAAAAGTATGAAGTAATATGAAAATCTCTGTATGCAGCCCTGGAAGTTCAGCTGAGCACAGCCTGAGGAAATGTGTTCTAGCCTCAAGAAATCATCAATGCTGTTGCTGTTTATTGCAAAAGACGTGCTGCCAATAAGGAGCTGATGAAAGTCATTGAGTTACAAAGGCAATTTAGCTCTGCTGTAACCTTCACATTATGACAATTTGCATGAAATCAACATTTTAGTTTACAGTTATACCCACTCATCTTTAGCGGCCTATTTTTCACACTCTCAGTCTTTAATGGGGTATTTAAAGGTTTAACAGAAACTTTAAAGCAACTGAGGCTCAGAATGACTTGCTTATATCACAAAGCCCAACCTCGTACACTGTTACTCTATAGCCCTACTGTTTTCTTAAGTGTCCATTTTTCACCCTCTCTCTCTCCCACACTCTCTATACAGAACAGGAAGTGGTATGTGGGTCAGAGCACATATGCAGAGATGAGCACAGGGAATCGAGAGCGTTCCCAGAAACGCACACACATAGGAAAGAAGATGTATAAATGGGAGGTTTTCCATCCATGACTTGTGAGTGCATGAAAGCTCCTGTGGTTCCCATCTCTCTCTCTCACACACACACACACACACAGACATACATATGCATATATACAGTAACTGTTATACTGAATTTGCGTACATGTGCAGTATCTCAAATTTTCCCAATGCAAACAACTTCCTCTGCCTGACAGTCATTCTTGGCCGGTGTCCAGCCAAACAGGCTGTGTTTATTTTATAAAAATGGCTGAAACCGTGTGGAAAAGGGACCACTCAAAACATTTTGGTGGAACGGGAGGAAAAAAAGTAACTGCCAAGACTCCTCAACATGTGTATTTCTCTTCAATGATTCATCTTGTATGAATACATAAACATGTCCCCATCAAATGCTCTTGATCCTTCCTCGTTCCCTTCTTTTTGATCTCTGAGGCTGGATATGCAGATTTGTTCCTGCAGGCCACAGAGTTACACCCCGAGCTCGTGATTGCCGCTTTTAATGTTTTACCGTGAACTAGATTTTTCAAAGGCAACTTCAATATGCGGCATGTGAGAGCCCAGATGTGCTGAAGCTGTAGAGTAAGAGCCTTATGTTTGTTGAGAATACTGCCATGGACTGTATAACCCAAACTGCTTCCAGACACTGGTTTCCAGCTGCTCCTGGGTCATGATTATCCAGAGCCAGCAATTTTGATTGTTTGTTGTAATCTTTTTGTTTACTGATCAAAACTGTCAAATAGGCCAGAATACTTGTTGCACTAATACAAATCTGACTTTAAAAAAAAAACACAAAAAACATTTTTTTAATGAATTTCAGAATAACTATTTATAATCTATTAACAGTGCTATACAAAAGTCTTAAGCCACCATTTACGTCTGTATTGTATAGTAATACGCTATAATAGTTTCCACAATTCTAATAAACTTGAAAGTCAGTATTTGGTATGACCACCTTTATTCTTCAGCACGTCCTGCACTCACTGCATTGACAGTGTGTTTGGGATCACTGTCATGCTGAAAAATGAAGCTGTTGCCAATCAGATGATTTCCAGATGGTATTGCACGGTGGATCAAAATCTGACTGCACTTTTCTGCATTCACACGTCCATCAATGTTGACAAGATTCCCAACACCACTGGCTTGGAGGCTGTCATGCTTTTGGACAAGATACTCACTGTTGTACCTCTGTCTGAGTGGCCATGTCTGAAGAATACTTTGAAAGACCCTCCTAAAGGGTCATCAAAATGTGCTGGCAATATGTCCCTATTGCTCTCTTGTAACACAAGAAAAACAAATTTTCTTAAGGTATGTCAAACTGCACCATCACAGTCTGCTACACTGCTTCCATTTACGGTGCACATAATGTTGTGCTTTAAAGCTTTTCCCTGTAAACAGCCTTCCAGATTCTGAGTGGAACCATGTTTTAGACAGCCCTGCATAAAGACGCTGACTTTAACACTGTCGCTTTCATCCATAACTCAGAGGTGGTCCCAGAAGTTAACTCGGGAGGTGTTACAGAATGATTGAACAGATAATTAAAATTAAATACTCAACAAACAAAAAAAATCAGTGGCTGAAACACTTTCTTTTCTTTCCATTTCAGAATTAACTGATACTACAACATTTCTGATGTCTCTAACAGTCCTGGAGGCTGATTACAGCACTACCATCTTTGTTACAAATGAGCTCTTATTATCACAGAGGACCAGTTTCAACAAGGATAGAGTGGGATGCACATTAGATAGTAAGTCTTTAGAGATACAGATGAAACCAGCAGGGTCCTGAAAGGCAGACCGTACAATCCTCTTCAGTGTGACAGTTAACCCAGATTAAAGCTCTGTTGGTACACTCATTCCTCTTTAAGCCATCTGCAGGAACATTTTTCTTCTTGGCTCATTTGGCCATTGATTCAATGATGAGTAAAAAAAAACCCAAAAAACAAAAACAAAACATCAGCATGAGGTTACTTTAATAACATTTTCTGCTTGTATACACATTAAGGAACACAGAACTAAAAAGGCAGAAACAGCCCTCTGGGGCCCAGTTTAACTCTGTGGATCTCAAAACATTTACATGCACGAGTCTAAAATCATCATTAGCTAAAGTGCCCTGAGAGAAGTGAAAAATCTGCTTGCTTCAAACGTGACCTCCTCAAAGTCCATCTAATGAACAGAGACCACTGTTAAGAGTGATGGAAGCTATGTGATTATATTCCTGACTATTTTTGGAGAGAAAATATTGACATGAGGGTGTGGAATGGGGAAACTGTTTGGTGTTTATCTTGTATGCTTCAGAAAAGCTATTTATTCCATCACATGCAATAAAACTTAGTCTGGAATCAATTACAAATATGCAAAGTACTAAAAGTACTAATGTGCCAACTTCCGCGTGCAGTAGGTTTCATGATCAGGCCTACTAACTTTAAACAGATGTCTGCTTGCAGTTAGAACCAAATCAAATTTCCCTCACAAGACGCATTTCCAGCACCAAATCTCACGTGTTTATCTATGTTCCAGTGTAATTTGTTTTCTGGATTGAAAGAGTGACTCTTTTCATCATTTTATCTATATAAAAATTTATTGGCTGACAATTACTAAGGCAGGTATTCCTATAGTCCTACAGCCACTGCATCTGTTTCAGTGGAATATAGCTGTTTCTGTAATGGCAGAATAATTTTACTTCATTCAATCCTTCTCGTGACCGGCGTTTGCTGCAGGATTTAACAATCCCACAGTGCAAGAGTGGTTTAGCTGGGATTGAAACCTGATTAAAGACAACAAAAGATTACAAGCGCATGCTGATAGGTGTTACTGACCTCGGTGACGTCCATGACCTTGATGGCCGCCAGCTGTCCCGTCTTAACATGTCGACCCTGCAAAGAAACACAGGAGAGAGGAGAGATGAGCAAAGTGGAAATCTGTATTTTTGTGCATTGTGAACAGCTGCTACCAATGTTTGTGATTAAAGTGTAAGCTTGGTTATAGGACAATTAAGAGCACAATGTGACAATAAAAGTTGCTGCTTTATTGAAGGCCAAGTATATGACTATGCAAATCGACGGTAGTGTCCAAGGCTGAGTACACATGGAGGTTTATTCAGCCGTTCCAAAAAATAAAAACCACATTTATAACAAGTTATTTGTCTCTACAATAGCGTGGAGAACCACAGGCAATAATCCAAACCTTTATCATTTCCAAACAGGCTGAGCACAGTGTTTCCAACGTGGACTGGTGCAAAGAATTAAAACGGTAAACTCATTTTATCCAGGCAGAGCAAACACAGTCTGAACAGCTTTTCCAAATTTAAAGGACATAAACAGCGTGAAATAGTATGTGACCTGAAAGAGGCAATAATGATACCATGCTTCACTACATGTGTGAGTAACTAGCCTGCAGCTCCACCATACTGCATGCATGTTTTTCATAATTTCAGAATGAATGTGACAAAACATGCAATAGGCTTGCACAACGTTGGATGTGTACCTTTCTTTTTTTTTAGAAAAGAAGTTATTGCCAATAATTGTTGAGATAACCGCAAGCTTGTGGTCAAAGCAGTATTATCTCATTCTTGAGAGGCTTTCAGAAATACTTTGAGACTTCGTGAAACTCAGCACCAAAAGTATATAAAAGAAAAATGAAGGAGGCTTTAAATGAGCTAGAAGCTGGAAATAGATTATATGCCAACAATAACTTTTGGGCGCAAACTAGCATGTAGCAATTTTTGTTTTTGTTTTTTAATACCATGTAAAAATTAAACCAATAGCTTATTTTAAAGATATTGTGAAGACTTCACTTTTTATCAACTTTTTAAAATATTTCATGCCAAGCAAAAAATAATTACTCTGAAAGGATAAAAAACTAACAACTTACATGTTGCAGTTGCTCTAAAGCCCCCTAAATTAATTCAGCGTTAGGGCCACTGGGAAAGAAAAAAAAAGTGGGCATGTCTTTTTTTTTCTTCTTTTCCAGAATTCTGAGAAAAAAAGTCAGAATTCTAAAACAAAAATAAAAATAAAAAATCTGACTTTAATGTCACAATTCTGACTTTTTTTCTCAGAATTCTGGAAAAGAAGAAAAAAAACAACTTGCCCACTTTTTTTTCCAGTGGCCCTAATCCTCTTCCGTAGAAAACAACTAATAAATACTCACACTGACAAATACTAATGAAGCACTAGCTACTCGAGCAGTTTAAAAAATAGACTGTAAAACTTAAATTTCAAACATTTGGAGAGCTAAAATTTTGCAGTTCACCATGAAAAGAACAAAAATTACCAACATATTTTTCCAGGTAAAAGAACACACCGTTCAAGTAGTTTTCAGATGCCAGAATAACACCCAAAGAACAAACCTTATTCTCACACTAGCCTACATAGCATTACAGGAAAGGTACACAGCTGTTACAGCCTGAACAAGCAAGCACTTTTGAATACAGCAATGGTGTAGAGATAAACAAACTCTTCCAGGAAAGACAAACACAGAAAGGGAAAAATTTGAGATGATGCAATGCTTTATGACTGTATTATGTGTGTAGAGCCTGTGTGCGTCTGATCAGGTTTCCTTTGTGAGAAAAGGCGCTGTGACACCTGAACCACCAGCCCCAACGACTGAGTGATGAGAGATTAACCCATCTCAGTTTAGTCAAGGGGTGTGTGTGTGTGTGTGTCTATATGTGTGTGTGTGTGTGTGTGTGTGTACTATTGTGTGTTGTGTGTTGGTAGTGTGTGTGTGTGTGTGTGTGTGTGTGTGGTTGTGTGTGTGTGTGTGTCTTTGTGTGTGTGTGTGTTTGTGTGTGGTGTGTGTGTGTGTGTGTGTGTGTGTGTGTGTGTGTGTGTGTGTGTGTGTGTGTGTGTGTGTTCTGTGTGTGTGTGTTGTGTGTGTCTGTGTGTGTGTGTGTGTGTGTGTGTGTGTGTGTGTTTGTGTGTGTCTGTGTGTGTGTGTTGTGTGTGTGTGTGTGTGTGTGTGTGTGTGTGTTGTGTGTGTGTGTGTGTGTGTGTGTGTGTGTGTGTGTGTGTGTGTGTGTGTGTGTGTGTGTGTGTGTGTGTGTGAGTGTGTGTGTGTGTGTGTGTGTGAGTGTGTGTGTGTGTGTGTGTGTGTGTGTGTGTGTGTGTGGTGTCTGTGTGATGTGTCTGTGTGTGTGTGTGTGTGTCTGTGTGTCTGTGTGTTGTCTGTGTGTGTGTGTCTGTGTGTGTGTGTGTGTGTGTGTGTGTGTGTGTGTGTGTGTGTGTGTGTGTCTGTGTGTGTGTGTGTCTGTGTGAGTGTCTGTGTGTGTGTGTGAGTGTTGTGTGTGTGTGTGTCTGTGTGTGTGTGTGTGTGTGTGTGTCTGTGTGTGTGTGTGTGTGTGTGTGTGTGTCTGTGTGTCTGTGTGTGTGTGTGTGTGTGTCTGTGTGTCTGTGTCTGTGTGTGTGTCTGTGTGTGTGTCTGACGAAAAAGGTCAAGGCTGATGGAGACGGCAAACTGCAAAACTGACAGGAAAACAAATCTCTGATGGTGCTTTTTGGTGGGGACTATCGAGTTACACTACGGAACACAATAAAGGATAAAGGAGGACTCTGACTTTTCTATAGTACTAGATTTCGATATTCTGTTATTTTGTGACCTTTACTTTATGCCTTCTTGTGGCAATGTGGCTCTTATCTCAAAATCTTAAACCTTTTTCTTTATATAATCTTAACAAAATCTTATAAGAGAAATAAAGGACAAACAAATGAGAAATAAACAGATGTTTTTAAATGCAGAGAGGAGATAGAATATTAACGTAGTACATTACTGAACATGCTGAGAATGAAGTAGCTACTAAACATCAAAAGGATCAAGCTGTTTTGACCATTTACATAACGTGACATCATTTTAAAAAAAGACTTTTGTTGCTTAAATGTAGCCCAATTTAGGTTCAATAAGCCCCACATACATTCTAGCACATGAATTAACTATACAAATGTTTACTTTATTTTCTCCAATTAATATAAACTTCGACCATCAGTTACATTAAAAAAAAAAAAATACATTTTGCAACACACTGGCGAGTCAGCCACTTTGTTAAATCCATCGCCAATACTGTGATGAACTTTCTTGCCAATGTCTGGATGCTAGCACGCTGCTGCAGTGGCCTGTAGTTTGCATAGAAATGTGAACTTATCTGCAAAAACTCGTTAACTACTAACTGAGCGATACAGAAACTTCCAGAAAGTCCAAACTTTTACTTTGAATGAAAATGTCTCTATTAGCCTCCATCAAGCTTAAGTATCTATCTTACTGCAGCGCTGCTGAGTCAAACGTTTCTAAGCCATGACACAACCACACTGCAGGTTTTCCCTATTATGTACTGATGCACACAAACTAACCGCCACTAACAAATGCTCTCACAAGGAGATTTGCAGGCACAAAAGTATATGAACCCTCACTATTCCCCCGGCTTACTGCCTCCTCAGTGTGACCTCACCACCTGCACTTCAGACTTTGCATTTCTTTTTCTCCGAGCCATGTTTAACAATTTGCTGTCAAAGAGAATAGCAGGTAGGGTACCAGCCCATTTTAGCTGATGATGCAGTTTGTAAAGGCGGCAGGATGTGTCTCACACACACACGCACACACTGCAAATACTCTGAAACGTCTTATATTAACTCCCTGACAAACAATGGAAACTCAAGCAGACACACACCTTACATTCCCCATACACTCACACACCCGAGGCTCAAAGATTGTATAGAAGTTGTGTAGATACTGATGAAATCATGAAACTAATGTGTGAGAACATATGCATCTCCCCCCCCCAGGTTTTGTTGCATACAGTTAATGTGTAAATATGAAAAAATATAATTATGACTGTGTGTGTGTGTCACAGACTAAATTACTAACAAATTTCTACGCGTCTGCATCACTCGCCTTTGCATGTGAGAAAGGTGACCTCAGCACAGCACAGACTGTTATAATTACAGACACCCCCCCTGCACTAGACAAGCATACAACGGTTAAAAGATGACATCATCTTCTTTCCAGATTCTTTTGTTCAAAAACGAGACACAGATATACGCACACACCTGGCCTTTATGAAAAACCAAAAGACAGAAAAAAAGCCAGAAGGAAGAATCATCAGTCTTTGGAAATAACAAAGACTTCCAGAGAGGAAGAGAAAGAAATTAGATGTTCACACAGGCTGTCCAGTTTTGCAACAATATCTAAACATGTGGTTCTAAAAGTGGACCCTCCAAATTGCCTCAAATCAAATCTGCTTGTAGGCCCATCTGAAATGATTTACTTAAAGGATCCTGTGTTGTGTCTATTTACGTAGCTCTTGAGGCAGAGTCCAAGAAGAAGTGGACAACATTTCAAAAAGCACAAGTGAAATGTTTCAGTGACATTAACTCTCAGTTTCACTCCACTATAAAGCATTTCTTTGTCTGTAAGGATGATGGTCTTTTCCACAGCAGTGGAAAAACTCAAAAACCACCAATGTCAAAAACAGAAAACATGAGCACCCCATGTTTCAGAGTAGTCTATAAACTTTTATCACTGCCCCCTACTGACAGTCCACAGCTTCAACATACAAATGCAGGTCTTTAAGGCCTAGCAGAAGCACTCATGGACGTCTGAGCTTTAGGTTTTTTATTTTTGTTTTATTTAGATAAAAACTGAAACATGCTAAACTACTGAGATCACGATTCATTGTGCTAGCCCCAGCATCTTCAGTGTTGGTAAGATTGAGTCACTGCACAGATGAAACACATTCAAAGAGAAAAGAAAAAAAAATCGCTGCCGGAGGTTAAGACAGTTTATATATAGTTTGGATGCTCATACCACTGCAGTAATAAGGACACTGGATTTTAGGGGTTAAAACATCAGTTACTGCCTTAATAGACACTCAGGCATATATTTA